CTCTGATGCTGCTTGGCCTGCTGTGTTCATCCAGCTCTACACCTTGTTATCTCTTGTATACTCTGCAATTTGGTTTTACTTTACATGGAAATGATAGTATTGTAATGTCTGAAGTTCTGGGGCACACCAGTGGCTAAACCCTGGCAAAGCCATGGAGTGGCCAGTAGAGGTCAAGGTATATTTAAAAAAGTAATTTGCAGAATTATTCTGAGCTAGGAAGAGCAGGGGTGCTTCCCAGGGCTTCACAATGAGCCTATGAACTTTTCAGCCCATCTTGCCTCTACTCTGTGTTAAACCTAATTGCCAAATGCCCTTTACAGGATTAACAATAAACGTGCGGAGACCATTTCCATCCATTCTTACAGGCTCTCAACACTTTGCCCGGATATCACTTTGGTTAAAATTTTGTTTGAGGGTTCCTATTGAAAATCCTAGGAGGAGAAAAGAACAGTACAACTTCGAAATAATCAAACTGATCTTACTTGACCTGTATACCCATAAAGGGAGCTCCAGTTTGGACCAGTACACACACTTCTGACCTAGTTTTCTTTCATGCATTTCCAATTGGCCTTAAACCTTTGTTAAAATGGAAAACAATCTTTCAATACAGAGCCTGGGTTATTCAAATCAAGATGGAACATTTAGTTTTTCTGTAGCTAACAATGCACATCTGAAAACAGACTCAGAATCTGTGGTACCAAACATTCAGGTGATCTATAGAACAATGCCACATCTTACTCTTTGCCACATAAATTATTTCCAATTGATTTTCATAGTCATGCTTGGGATGCCAGTCAAAAAGTATGAAAGCAAGGTTTCTGTCTTCCCTTTTAGTCAGAGAATTAAGGTTTAAATTTGCAGATTTTTCTGAACAGGCAATGTTTGGATTAATTGGACCCTGAAAACTGACAGAATAACATACGCAAAGTTTAAGAAAGGACAATCTCAGTGCAGTGTGGCATGTTTAAGAGCAACTGGCAAAGCACACATTGTTACTTCACTGTGTAAAGTACGGAATTAGGAAACACTGTAAGTTATATAAGAAATGAAGAAAATGCAACACATACTGTTGCAAAATTGTTTTGATCATGAATGTAAAAGTACATAGAATCATCACCATGCAACAATTTGAGATTATCAGATGTGGGGAGAAAAAAATAATGCAATGCATTTTCTCTTGCATTTGCAGGTATAATGGAAATCAGGTCAGTTAATGTTGGAGTAGTCGCAATCAAAGCGGTCAACACTGGCTTTTATTTAGCCATGAACAAGAAGGGAAAGCTATACGGCACGGTAAGGTTATACATTTAACACAATTTCACATCTTATTTAAAAGGCTAAATCCTACAATTTCTCTTTAGAAACATCAGATTTAACATAACAGCTACTTAGGCCCAACCACTGAGTAGTGTGCTGGTGGTGATCCTGCCAAGGGCATTTCTAACAGATCTGATGTGATTTAAATTGTAATTTGGCAATCTGTTGCCTGGTGTCAGGGTTCACAAAGCTTTCAAGAAAATCATCCCATCCCTGAGAACTTCCGGTCAATCAGAGACGGGCAGCTCTTCAGACCCAGCAGCACCACCAGGAACAGAGGACACTGTTGATACTGCAGTATACTCCAGGTGGAGGAACATCATTGAAGGTACTGGAGCTTGAATAAATGAAGGAATTTTGTTCAGGGTCAGACTGGCCATCCAATGCTCAATGGTGGCATTGTGGTATGCAGTTGGGAGAGAATTGGTTTGGAAGTCCACTGCATTGATTCCAAACACCTTGAAATTTCATGGCATCATTTCAAGCATGTACGAGGAAACCTCCTGCCAACCACCACCCAATGATGAATCAGTACTCCTCCATATTGAACACCGGTTGGTGTTTGGCAGAACGCCCACTGTCAGAATTGGCTAAGTCTTCAAGGACATATTTGGAAATCTAGGTGTTTGGCAGGTGGTGAGACAACCACCAAGAAACATAAAACCTACCCAAATACAGCCGCACCAATCTGTCACAGATTCACCCATTCAAGACAGCATCAGTAGGAATGACCACTGCACAGTCAATGTGGAAACACTGAGAATATCCTCCATTGTGTTGCATGGCACTACCACCAAGCTAAATAGGATGGATCTCAAACAAATCTAGCAACCAAATCAAAACTAGACATCAATAAGGCACTGCAGATTTTCAGCAACATCAGAATTGTACTCAAGCACAATCTACAAATTCATGGCCCGGCATAACCCCCTACTAAACAATTAACATCAAGCCAGGAGATCAAAAATAAAAACAGAAATTGCTAGAAAAACTCAGCAGGTCTGGCATCTCTGGAGAGGAAGCAGAATTAACACTTGGGGTCTAGTGACATTTCTTCGGAACCGGCGGGTAAATCTTGGTTCAAGGAAGGCATTCCCGGAACAGCAGCAGGCATACCTAAAATTGAGGTGTATCAACCTGGTGAAGCTACAGCACCTGGCATCTTGCATACCAAACTACATAATTAACATGCAATATAGAGGACTAAGTGATCCCATAACCAACACACTGCAGCTCTGCGATCCTGCCACATTGAAAAATGGCAGATGGAGTTCAATCTGGATAAATGGGAGGTATTGCATTTTGGTGCAACAAACAAGGGTAGGACTTACACAATTAATTGTAGGGTCTTGGGTAGTGTTTTAGAACAGATGGAACCTTGGAGTGGATGTACATAATTCTTTGGAGTTTACATCACGTATAGACAGGGTGGTTAAAAAGATGTTCCAACACCCTTGCCTTCATTGCTCAGTCCTTTGAGTATAGGAGTTGGGAAGTCATGTTGAGGTTGTACAGGCCATTGGCGAGACCTCTTGTGGAAAACTGTGTCCAGTTCTGGTCTCCCAGTTATAGGAAGGATATTATCAAGCTGGAGAGGGTTCAGAAGAGATTTACCAGGATGTTGCCGGGTACGGAATGTTTGAGTTATAAAGAAAAGCTGGATAGGCTGGGACTTTTTTCACTGGAGCGTAGGAGGTTAAGAGGCAAACTGATAGAAATTTATAAAATAATGAAAGGTATAGATAGAGGTAATGATAGTTGTCTTTTCCCTAAGATGAAGGATTTCAAGACTAGGGGTCACATTTTTAAGGTGAGAAGAGAGAGACTGAAAAATGACATAAGAGGTAAATTTTTTACACAGAGGGTGGTTCGCGTGTGGAATGAGCTTCCTGATGAAGTGGTGGATGCAGGTACAATTATAACAAAGCCATTTGAATAAGTACATGAATAGGAAATGTTTGGAGGGATATAGGCCAGGAGCAGGCTGGTGGGACTAGTTTAGTTTGGGATTATGTTCAGCATGGACTAGTTGGACTGAAGGGTCTATTTCTGTGCTGTATGACTCTATGAGTCAATGATTCCATCTAATCATGAATAGTGTTGTATAATTAAATAATTAATAGGACACCTCCTCCAATACTCCCATTGTGGGATCACTCAACAATGGGGAGCACAGTACATCAGAGAGAGACATTTTCCTCCATCTTCAGACTGATGTACTGATTGTATCATCTGTCACAGTTCTACAGCTGCCATTTCTCAGCTAATTTTGGTTCACTCCAGGGGATATCAAAAGCAGCTGAATACACTTCAGCCATAGTAATGAAGGCTGTGCTCCAGAATTAACCCCATTTTTATCCAGTTCAGTTCCGCATTGGCAATAGTGTTTAAAATTCCTCACGTATGCCTTGTGCACAAAGGATAGGACAATTCAAACTAAGACAATTGTTGCTTTTGCAGACTTCTATTAATCATCAGCAAAGTGGTGGAAGTGGTCATCGATAGTGCTCTCAAGTGTTACTTGTTTAGCAATAACCTGCTCACTTTCATTTGGGTTTCACCAGGACCCCCTCAGCTGTGGACTTCTATCATAGTCTTCATCCAAACATGGACAAAATATTTGATCTCCTGAGATGAGGGGAGAATAATTGCCCTCGACATCGAGGCAGCTTTTGGATGAGCCTGGCATCAAGGAGCTCTAGCATTACTGGAGCCAATGAGAATCAGGGCAATAACTCTCCATTGATTGGAGTATTACCTGGCACAAACGAAGGTAGTTGGAGTTGTTGAACGTCCAACATCTCAGCTCCAGGACATTATTGCAGGAAATCCTCATGGTAGTATCCTTGGCTAACGCATCTTTTGCTGATTAATTAATGAACTTCTTTTCAACATAAGGTCAGGAGAGGATGTTCACTCTTGATTGAACAATGTTCAGCAACATCTGTGAGTTCTCAGGTACTGACTCTAACCATTAACCCTTATAAGCAATTAGATTTCTATTGCTGAATTCCCCACTATTGATATCCTGGGTTACTCCTGACCAGAGACTGAATTGGACCAGTGATATAAATACTTTGTCTACAACAGTTGATCAGCGGCTAAGAATTCTGTGGTGACTATCCCTCCAATGCCTGTCTACAAGACACAAATCAGAATGCTTTGGAATACACACTCCAATGAGTGGATGGTACCACTCCAACAACACTTCACAAGGTCTGAACTATCCAGGACAACACAACCTGCTTGATTGACATCCCATCCACCACCTTCAATGTTCAGTCCCTTCACCACCAATGCTCCATGGCAGCAGTGTGTACCATCTACAAGATGCACTGCAGCATCTCACTAAGGGTCCTCTGATAGCACCTTCCAAATTCCCAATCTCTACCACCTAGACAGACAAGGGCAGCAGATATATGGGAACACCATGAGCTGCAGGTTCCCCTGCAAACGACACATCGTCCTGACTATAACTATATCGCCATTTCTTTACTGGTGCTGGGTGAAAATACCAAAACTCCCTTCCTAACAGTATTGTGAGTGAACCTATACCTCATGGGGTGCAGCAGTTCAAGAAGGCAACTCATTGCCACCTTCTCCAGGGCACTTACAAATGGGCAGTAACAGCAATGCCCACCTTCCATAAATTAGTAAAAATGCATCAATTTCCATTATGTTTCATTGACTAGTGATTGGAAAGAAATACATTGCATTTCTCTGCACTATCCATATTCAAAGAACATCACAAAGTCTTCACAGGCACTGAATTGTTTTTGAAGTATAAATAAAACAATCCCACAAACAAAGTCAGTATTTGTTGTTTTCGCTGAGAGATGAATGTTGGCTCAGACACCTGAACATTGTACATTCATCTGAATTGGCAGATGGAGACTCGCACTCCCTCAGCAAGAGGCACAAACCCTGCCTTATGTTTTCCCTTTTCATAGGCCAGTTATTGCTAAAGTGTTACCTTTCTCTGTAATATGTTCAACTTTTGCTATAGAGTAGGAAATATGATCATGATTTTGTCATTTTTGGGCTGGTAACTTTGCTTAAATAATGTGCCCAAGTTTTGTGGACTTATTAACTGAAAAGGACAAGGATATCAGCCTATCCTTGCCCACATTATTTATTTACTAAATACATAGCAGCTGTTAAAATAATGCTTTCTGCTGAACCTCACACCCGAAGCTGCATTTGAGTGGATTCTGATATCTGCCACTGATACAATGTTAAGTGTCATGAATTGCATCCTTGATAAGGGCGACAAAAGAACAAAACACAAAGGAAATGCATCAGCTGGATCATCTTTCATAACCTGACACACAGTAAATTCCTATTTCACCACGTGCTTCCATATCATGGTTACGGCTTTTGGTCTGGAGCACAATACACCAGACTATCCTGGAGACATCCTAGAAACATTTTACAAGCACTTGTTTTACCTCACTAATTACCCAGTGAATTGGTTTGTCTTTATTTTGGGCTGGGAATGGGTGGGTGGACAGAGGCAGGGCATAATACAGAACCAGCGGGATGTCAACATTTTTTGTGCTCGTCACTGACAAAATAGAATGCTTCCCATCTCAGGTGACTAACTTCAGTGGCCAAACCAGGGATTACTCAGCCAGCTACAAAGTGAACTTTTCCCAGTTACAAGGCACTGCTCTGAACAAATTACAGTCCCATCGAAGTTAAATATGTCGCCAGCAGGGCTGCCACCTTCTTTTGAAATGCTTCTTTCACTGTCATTCAACAAAATGATTGAATGCCATCCTCCAAACAACACCTCTTTTGAGTGTTGTGCGGAGTTTCTCTTTTTGCATTGTAAACATCTGTGTACCTTCCTGATTGTGCCTAAAGGTATTCAACTGTCTTAAACCTTTTTGGAAGATTTTACGAGCAATTGTCTGTAACACAAATATTTGACTGCAGTATCCACACACTAGAAGTTAGTGTTATTTTCCTAAGTGAGGAATCTGAAAGTTTAACCTTTAAGCTCCTGAAATAACTCAAAAGTTCCTCACACTCTGAGTTGGTCAATTCTTTAACTTAAATTATGTTTTGCAGGATTATTAAGCATTTGAGGTTTCTTAAGTATATAAACAAACAATATGTTATTCAAATATTATATCATAAATCAGAATGGAATATCATGAATTTGAAGGGAAAGCTGCAAACTGCATTTCAACCTCAGCTATAAACAGATAACCTGGGCATTAATATACTTGCTGATTGCTTGCATCATCAATTAAATGTTTTACTGTCTTAGACTGTGAATTAGGGAGTTATAATGTGGGAAAGAACATGGCCTCCTCACTGCCTTGCAGTGCTGTGCCAGCCAGACCAATGGAATACAACAATTATAATTTTGTTGTAAACTACTTGCCATTCTGAGCTCCTTATAATCTGCACCACTGTGAGCTGACCTTACGGAACCTGCCAGGATGAGTTTGATAACTCAACGCTTTGAATTTCAATCCCTGTAATCCTCAAGTTACGAAGTTGCATCTTTTCTTGCACCACTATCTTGCACTTTGCTCCAGACAATGATGTCAACTGTATCATAATTGGCTGAAATCTTCAGGTCATTGACCTTTTATCCGCCAGGTCGACTGGCTGAAATACAATGAAAAATGATGGAGCAGACACATCAACGTCACCTAAATGTTAGGAATAGAAAATACTGTCAATGAGCTACACTGAAATGAATCAGTCATTGCTAATGATTTACAAACTAAAGGTTTGCCGAAGACTACACCACAGACATGGAGAACTGGGCAGACATTCCAATCTTTATTTTTCTGTTTTGCTAGGGACTTGAAGTAGGTGGATAGATAGAGTGAATCCCATCATGTAAATGAGAGGGGGAGATGGTACAATCCATATTCGATTGACTTGCTTGTTATTTTCGAAAAATCTGTGTTGAGCTTCCCTTCCAAGGTGGTTGGAAACTCCTTTTGTGGAAATTAATGGGAAAGGAAATGTTGGCAGTAGAGACGAAGACCAGAAATTTCTTACAGTAATTCACAACAACATGCTCAATTTAAATAACAAAGTGTTTCTTTTATACATAAGGAAAGAAACTTCCAGCAATCCTTTCTATTATATGTATGCTGTCTCTGGTTGGGATTGAGATAACAGCAAAATACTGCAGGTGCTGAGATAAAAACAGGAAGTGCTGGAAAAACTCAGCAGGTCTGGCAACAACTGTGGAGAAAGAAATAGAGTCCAGTGATTTATCTTTGGAACTTAGCTGGGATTGAAATAATTTTGCTTACAAACTATAGGGGCAGGCCACTTAGGACTGAGGTGAGGAGAAATTTCTTCACCCAAAAAGTGGTGACATTGTGGAATTCTCTGCCACAGAAAATGGTTGACGCCAAAATATTGAGTATTTTCAAGAAGAGGTTAGATACAGTTCTTAGAGCTAAGGGGATCGAAGACTATGGGGAGGAAGCTGGAACAGAGTACTGAGTTGGATGATGAACCATGGTCATATTGAATGGCATATCAGGCCTAAAGGGCCTATTCTTTCATTGAATACTTGAATGCATAGAATCATAATCTGACTGGAGGTACAGTTGATAGGTGCGGAAAAGGAACTTCTTATACATACCTCTGCCTCTTTATCCAACCTGCCGCTAAAATGGCATACTTATCAATCTACTCACTGAGGGGAAAATGTCATTGCTTTTCAAATTGTAGGTAGTTAAAACACATCAGATTTATCTGGTGTTTTTCTCCATGAATGTTCATAAAACACTGAGTCTTTTCTCACTCCCTTGCCCACGCATATACACATTTGCATTTCTAAGCTGCGTGTCTAAATTCCTTTTTTAAAGAAGTTATGGATTCTGCCCTAAAGAATTCCACAATCAAGCACCTTCTGTGTAAATGAATTATCTCTAAGCTGCCCTGTTATTTGAGTCCCATTATTAAATTCCTGCTGGCTAATTACTGAAAAGATTTTCCTCATTACAGTCACATTGGACTATTGCATTGCAATTTCTAGTGGTCAGCTTTGAGCTCCATTGGTACCATGCTGGGAAGAGGTTGGAAAGCCTCTCTCCCTGGGTAGTGCAGATGCATATTCAGGAGTTGGTGGTAAATTAGAAAATCATAAAGTAGGAAAAGTGAAAAAAGAGATAAAAATCATTGTTTGATAACAACCTCCAACTATTGATTGTCTTTTTGTTCCTTTTCTAGGAAGAGTACAACAACAATTGTAAGTTTAAGGAAAGGATAGAAGAGAATGGTTACAATACTTACGCCTCTCTGAAGTGGAAGCATAAAGGGCGGCAAATGTTCATCTCATTAAATGGGAAAGGATCCCCTCGCCGGGGACATAAAACAAGGAGAAAACATCTCTCAGCTCACTTTCTACCCATGATGGTGCCCTAGACACCAGCTTGTGCCCACATGCCCTGAATTGTGCATCATTACCAAGTCTTGCCATTTGACGCTGCAAAGAAAAAAATGCACATTTCCTTTTTTTATTAATCATGGATCTCACATACAGAGCTATTTTCTCTGCATAAAGCTTGCGCAAGCAACAGAGCATTTACTGTTGTAAATATATGTTTTCTTGGGACCATTTGCAGCACCTCTTCATCAATATAACTGTAGGACTTCTGTAGAGAAAAAGACAACCCTCAGCCACAATAGACAGAAGAGAAAAAAAGCAGTAGCATTTAATATAACAATTTGTTTCTTTTTGAATTAAGGAAACCTGAAAGAAGCTTTTTTTTGGCTTAGAGCATGAACAATAACACTGACAATGCTATATGTGTGTCTGGGTTTGGCCGAGGGGCAAGGATAGAAAGGACAGAATAACTGTTGAGCATCTATACCAAAGTTCGAAATTGTTGTAATGCACAGAAGACTATGCTCTAGTCCAAGAAAGACTGCATTTGTAATTTGCACCTGGTTTAGGGAGACTATGTACAAGCAAACCATGAATAGGTATCTTCCATAAGTTCCTGACTGCATGACAACTTTGTATACACCACGGAAGATCCACACATGGGATGTCTGAACTGATTTATAGTGAGCGCTGAAGAGATGGATTTGTGACTGTTCTGTTACAGCTCAACTGTGCTGCACAGCAAATGTTGGACAGGTCGATGATGTTGTAGGAAATGGTCATATTTATGCAAATATAAATCATGGTGTTATTTGTAGGTTAATACAATCAAACATTTCATTGGAATGGAATGGATTTGCCAAACTACCAATATCACATCAGAACAGGGGAAGCTGGCTTTCATGTAATGTAACAACTCAATAAATCTCTTTCTTTCTTAGAAAGCACAGTCAAGAGATGAATTTCTAAAGCTTTTGATGTGTTTCTTCAAGTGTTAAAACTCTTTTACAATATAGTGAATAAAGTGGTATCTTACTAATTACTAATTAATCTCGCAGTTTATGACATTATCTGAACCCCTTTATTGTGTATTCACCATATTTGTGAATTAATGCAATAAAAATTGCCTAAAATCAAAGGCAGTTGCAAGCAAATATTTAGCACAGTCTCCTAGTGTGGTTAGGTTAATCAATTATTAATCTTCACTAACTGTTCAACTTCAACAACATATTTTCAAGTATTAGAGCTCTACTTATAACTTGTCTGATTAATGCCAAAGGAAATGTGGGGTTAATTATACAATGATACCCACGGCTCTGATACTGCCAACCAGATAAATTCTACATTTATATATAGCTTTGAACAAAATAAAGTTGAAATCTGTTGACTGTAAAGAAAGAGAAAAGAACACTGTAATTTGTATAGCATCATTCATCATCTTGGCCATAACAGACCTGGCTCATTAGGTAACTCTCTCGTGTTGTGGGCTCAGTCCCATGACAGCATTGAGCAGTAAGTCTAGAATGTCACTCCAATACAGTTCTGAGGGAATGCTGCACTGCTGCATGTATAATCTTTCAGGTGAGACTTTAAACTGGTTGACCGGATGCAGCTCCAACAACATTCAACAAGGTCAACAGTATCCAGGACAAAGCAACCTGCTTGATTGGCAACCCATCACCACCTTCAATGTTCAGTTATGCACGGTGGCAACAGTGTGTACCATCTACAAGATGCACAGCAGTATCTCACTAAGGGTCCTTTGACAGCGCCTTCCAAAACCACGACCTCTAGCATCTAGAAGGACAAGATACATGAGAATACTACTACCAATAACTCCCTTCCAAATTACACATTATCCTGACTTGGAACTATACCGGTCATTCCTTTTCAGCTACAACATGATATACATGCATTTTCCCAATTTTTCACCACATATATACATGACTTACTTATCAATACGTTATAACTAGATGCAAGAGATCAAACAGGAGATACTGGTTGTGTAAAGATGTCTGAGAATTTAAGAAATGGGGAGGCAATGGCCTAGTGGTATTGTCACTGGACCTGTTAACCCAGAGACCCAGATAATGTTCTGGGGACCTGGGTTCAAATCCCACCATGGCAGATAGTGGAATTTGAATTCAATAAATATCTGGAATTAAGAGACTGATGGTGACCATGAACCCATTGTCGATTGTTGAAAAAACCCATCTGGTTCACTAATGGCCTTTGGGGAAGGAAACTGCCATCCTTACCTGGTCTGACCTACATGTGACTCCAGAAACACAGCAATGTGGTTGACTCTTAACTGCTCTCTAGGCAATTAGGGATGGGCAATAAATGCTGCCTGGCCAGTGATGCCCCTCATCCCGTGAATGAATTAAGAAAGACATGTCCCCTCTTTGCGTCGTTTACTGACAACATTTCAAAATGGTGACAACTCACACCCAAATCAGTGGTTCACAATTGTACTTGTGAATAAGTCAAACCTTGTTTTTGGAGGGATTTTGAGGGCTCAAAGTTGAACTTACACCCGACATCAATGGTATTGACATCAATGGTATTTCAACAAGTATATTTGAACTTTTTTTTAACAAGTTTCCAAATGTTATTCATATCACTAATTCTGTTCTTAGCCTTAGAAAGATTAGAAGATTCAATCTGGAAGCAATTTAGATTATATTCAATAATTTTTATTTGAACCAACTTAATTAAAGGTTAACCATGTATTTATTATATGAAACAAACAAACGACACTTTGAATATTATGATATTTTATTACAAAGATAACAAAAAACTTTAACTTATGACATTCAACGTTATCATTTGAAATCCTCTTTCAACACTTCTCTGGTCTTTAATCCCACAATATCTGTGTTATTTATCAATTATAATTAAAATGATAGGAAACCTTCACTTACAAATCCAAACAAATTAAAGCATGTTAGACCATTTGGGAGGGGTTGCAGAAACCCTTGATTTTTCCTTTCTCTGTGAAAATATTGCATGCTTTAATTTTATCAATTTTAAAAAAGGTGAATGGTGTTTCATTTGCCAATCAGGATAAGCATATTTAAGGGAAAATCACTTTGCTTAGTTTATAGTAATGCTTTATGGGAAATGCATTCTTGAATTTATTACTTCTATACTATGGCATTTATTTAGTATGTGTAAAGGTATAAGTTTTAAAGGTATGTCAGGCCTATTGTGAAAAGTAGGATACATGTTTTTCAGATTGCAACATGCTACCATTTCATAACCTTTCATGCAACACTGATTGTCTATCATCCCTGTTTAAGGAGAGGACCTACACTGAATTTACTACCATCTTGAAAGCCCTTCAGTGGGCTGAATTTTACATAGGTTGGCTAAGTCTGAGGTGTGTCAAGCTGTTTGGAGGATTTCTGCTATGAAGGCCTAGTTAGTTTTCTTACTGATACTTACTAAATTCACCCAATTCTAGCCCCATTTTACAACCCATCACTTTAAGCACCGCATGCCATTCTGCTGGATATCCCTGAATTCCCTGGCATTCTTTGCACTTGCTCCATCTTTAAAAGCCCATTGTGTGCTAGGGTAGGCACTGAAAGTCTGGACTGCGTTCATGCTCACCCCTGATTTAGAAATTAATAGCAGACTGTTCTAGGATTGTTCAACAGATGGCGTATTTGGTTCTCTGCCTCACTGTACAAATTGTACTTCCACAATTTTTCTTGCTCCCTAAATTTGCCCACTCCAATACTTTTTCCTAGCTCCCTCAGATCAGAGGGGTGACCATGGCTACCCGCATGGGCCGCAGTCTCTTCGTGCGATATGTGGAACATTCCTTGTTCCAGTCCTATTCCCGCCCCCACCCACAACTCTTTCTCTGATATATTGATGATATCATTAGTGCTGCTTTCCTCTGTCATCGGGAATCAGAAAAGTTCACCGATTTCGCTTCCAATTTTCACCCTGCCCTCAGTTTTGCCTGGTCTTTCTCTGACTCCTCCCTTCCCTTCCTCGACATCTGTTTCCATTTTTGGGGATTTCCACTATATCCACTATAAATCCACTAAAAACCACTGACTCCCACAGCAACCTGGGCTATACATCCTCACACCCCACGTCCTGTAAAGACTCCATCCCATTCTCTCAGTTCCTCTGTCTCCATCATATATGTCCAGATGAGGCCGACTTCGACAAGGGAGCCTCCAAAATGTCCACCTTCTTCCTCAACTGAGGATTCCCCAGCACCGATGTTGACAGGGCCCTCAACCAGATCTGATCCATCTCCCGCACTTCCGCCCTCACACCTTCTCTTCCCTCCCACATGAGCAATAGGATCCGCCTTGTCCTTACCTACCATACCACCAGCATCCACATCCAGAGGATCATCAGACGCCATTTCCACCACCTCCAGTGAGATGCCACCACCAGACACATATTTCCCTCCCCTCCCTTGTCCACCTTCTGCAGGGACCGTTCCCTCCAGGGCACCCTGGTCCACACTTCCTTCACCTCTAACACCCCGCCACAGCCCTAAGGCATGTTCCCCTGCAACCAGTGAAGATGCAATACCTGCCCATTTACCTCCTCCATCCCCAGTATCCAAGGGCCCAAACATACCTTCCAGGTGATGCAACACTTCACCTGCACTTCCCAAAATCTAGTCTACTGCTCACAATGTGGTCTCCTCTACATTGGGGAAATGAAGCTTAGACTTGGCAACCAATTCACAGACATCTACGTTCTACTTGCAAAAAAGACCCTGAGCTACCTGTTGCTTACCACTTTAATGCACCACCCTGTTCCCTGACCAACATCTCTGTCTCTGGCTTGCTGCAGTGTTCTAGCGAAGCTCAAGAACAACACCTCATTTTCCACTTGGGGACCCTGCAGCCCTCCAGATTCAATATCGAGTTCAATAATTTTAGGGCCTAAACTCTCCCCTGTCCCAGCCCCCCACCCCACACACCAGGCCTTGTTACCACATAGCCTGCCATTACACACTACCTATTGTTAGTCACTGACAGTCCCCATTAACAACTATTCACCCTCCTAGCCCAATCATTCTCAACTCATTTGTCTATCCAACTGCTCTTCTCTCTCTCTCTTCGGGCTCTATCCTATCGTTTCCTCCTTACCTCACTACCCTTCCTATTTTCTGCATTTTCTCAGCTACCATCAGTTCTGTGGAAGGGTTACCGGCCCCGAAACGTTAACTCTGATTTTTTTTTCCTCACAGATGCTGCCAGACTTACTGAGCTTTTCTAGCAACTTCTGTTTTTGTTACTGACAGTCTGGAGGTGTCCTGCATGGTTCCTGATACTTGCCCCGAACATGGCAGACAGGGGGACATCTACATCTGCACCATCACACCCCATTTACAGGAAGGTCATGGTAGTCATGACACAGTTCCCTCAGGATCAGCAGTGGAGGCCGTGACACTAGACCATGCCAGCTTGGTCTGAAGTAGCCACCCTGATTAAAGCAGTCTCATCCATCTGGAGGAAAGTACAGCGATGTCGGAAGAAGGTCAATGACTTTCTCCTATCTGCAATCATTTTCTCCTCAAAGCTCATATTACAATGCCTGCAACACGTTCCCTTGCTTGCCATCATCCACCCCAATCCCAACACCACTAAACCTGCTCGCCCTCAACACTACCTACTCAACTGCTTGGGACACCTCCTCATCAAAAATAACAGCTGTGTCAGGCACTTTCATTTTCTTAATAGCTGCCACTGTCTCTCATCCCAGGAGGAAAACAGACCCTAGTAGGGCAGAAAGAGTCAAGATGGCTGGGGTTCTGATGAAGGGTCACTAGACCTGAAACGTTAACTCTGATTTTTTTCTTCACAGATGTTGCCAGACCTGCTGAGCTATTCCTGCAACTTCTGTGTTTTTTCCCTGATTTACAG